TCCCCTTTTTTTCCCCAAAGCTCCCCTCCACCCAGTTCCCACCCCACCCTCTGCCCTTACCCCCCCTCTGTAGGTGTACGATTTTTGTCGCCGGGTCAAAGGTCATACACATGGAAACTGTAGCTATTTCCATCCGCAACGTGCCCCTGTGCTAAAATGTATTTCTTAACTGTGGTCATGGCTCAACAAGCTTGAAAACCAGTGATTAGATTTTCTATGTTCCTTAACATCTGCCTTGCAGATTACTTTCCCCTGGGCAGCATTTATCATATTTTTCTGTGTATAAGATGCCATTCTTCTCTAAAATCATTAGACTGAAAATCGAGGGGCATCTTATACACGGAAGTTCTCCGAGGAGGGAGCCATGTGAGAAGGGACCCATGCAGGTGTATAGCTGCCCATACCTTGTCAAACAGGCTTCCTCTTTGTTACTAATGTTGTGGCCTCACCCCATAACAAAGAAACAGAATTCCCGGAGGATGAGGCCCAGAAATCAGGATTTTAAAAAGATTCCCAGGTGATTCTAATGTGCAGCCAAGGTTGAGAACCACTGCCTTAGAGTGTTCAACATAATTAATTAGGTTCTTTGATTTTCTTTCCTTATCTACATTTAATCCCCTTATTTACCTGTTAGTTGTCTTTCTTCTATCAGATAAGCTGTTCTTACTTATTGTAAGATTTAATTTGTGTCACAAAAGTGGGAACACATCAAGTTGGGAGACTATTAGCCAAATTCCCCAATAATGTGACCATAGGCAAGTTATTTAACCTAACATTCAATTTCCTCATTAGGGAAATGAGGAGTGATATCACATTCTTATAGAGTAACTTACATAGTGCATGGAAAACACTAAAACTGACAGTCTAGAATATTACTTTTTTTAAAATTGACATTTCCTTAGCTGAGAGTTGGATTCTAGATCTGATTTATCCTTAAGAATATTACCATTTGATACTTCTATCTGTTGCTTTGTACTAATGATACTATATTGTAAGTACTTGTTTACATGCCTGGCTTACAAAACTTTTGAGGGTGGAGACCTTGCCTTATTTGTCTTAATCACAAATATTACAGTTATGTATATAATGAGCTCAATAAATGTTGAATTGTTGAATCATCAAATTTATGTAATTGCTCTTAACAAAATTTTGTCATCCGGGAATATGGTTACTGAGGTGTGGGAATGGGGAGGGGTCTGAAGAATTGGGGAGGGGGGTTAATCTACTTATATAAAAACCCTGGGTGGTGTTGATCACGACCAGGTCTGGCGACCAAGCGGAAGGAAGTCAGTCCTGCAGGGGTTGTCTTGGCAACGGTTGCACCCTCCCCCGAGCTGTTTCTGGTGAGGGCGGGGTTTGAGGCAGGAACCCGCCCTTGGAGTGTGGACCCACTGAATCCTGGGTCGCTTTGCCAAGGGCTGCGCCCTCCCCAGCTGTTTCCCCTGTGGCCTGAGGGAAGAACCCACCCTCAGAGCACCAGGAGCACCCAGCAGCAGTCAGTCCTGGGTTGCTGAGGTTGAGGCCACGGCATGGTAGGACTCTGGATCTGGCCCAACAGGGGGCATGGCCAACCTTCATATCAGACCCTGATAGTAGAAAGGAGAGAGCCCCATTCCTCACAGAATCCGCTGTTGGATAGCTTGCTGTCAGTGGCCTGCCAGCCAGGAACCCCATTCTCCTGCACCCCGGGCCCTGACAAGAGGGAGGAGGGAGCCCCTTTCCTCATGGAATCGACAGGTGGCCAGTTTGATGCTCTATCACTGAGCCAAACCGGTTAGGGCAATTAATTCCCTTTTAATGTGCACAAATTTCGTGCACCGAGCTACTAGTATTTTATAGTAAAACGAGCAGGGAACAAATGCTAGCTTTTAATTATGTTTACTAAAACAAATTACTTAATTTCATAAGACCTCCATTTCCTTTTCTATACATTTCCAGCACGAAAATTGTGCACAGTAGGTCGCCCGCTGCTTCCATGGGAGCGGGAGGTGGGGGGGACGGGGACCGAAAGGGGCTCCATGCATCTCCTGGTGACTGGTCGCACACACAGCCCCACCCACCTGCACATGCCTCGCTGTGCACGCAGCTCTGCCCACTGGGCGCGCCTGCTGCGCACGTAGCCGCCTGATGATCAGTCGTTACGTGTGAGGGCATGATGACCATTTGCATATTAGCCTTTTATTATATAGGATAAGCAAGGTGACCCAGTGTTAACCAGAAAGGTGAGCTGAGGATCCCCCCTCCCTCCCCCAGGGTCGTGTCTCGATGCCGAAGAATGAGTTCCGAGGACCAGAAGATTTAAGCAAAAGTGTGAAAAATTTATTACAAGCGGATTCAGACTCCCCAAATAATGGGTTGCTAGCAAAGCAAGTCATTGTAGGAGTATACATGTTTTACAGGCTTGCTCCATATATACCTATGTCACCACCTGATTGATTCTGTCATTGTTCTTGCCCAGCCACGGACCTAAACTTTCTCTGTTTCTATGTGTATATACACCTTGTTGCTGCAGGCCCTCCTTTGGTTTCCCATACTTTCTGCTCTGTGTCCAAAAACATGGTTGGTTTCTGTGATTAGGCTTGCTCAAACTGCCGTGTCTGCCCCTGTCTATGTTATACCTGCCTTTGTTTCCCGCTGGATCACTACCCTATCTGCCTACTTTTCAAGCTAACTTATTTCACCGGGTTAGTAGTTTTGTGTGTTTTTGGAGAATTGTAGTTCTCATGGGTGCCGATGAGGTGGGAGAGAGAGAATAGATCTCAAGTTCTGTAGTCTGTTCCAAGTTATAATATTTTATTTTATTTTATATATATACATATATATATATGTATACACACACACACATACCTAATATGCAAAGTGTCCCTTTGGGAGTTTGATTGCTCACTATGACATGCATTGACCATCGGGGTGGCGCGGAATGAAGGAAGGCCCCGGCCAGCAGCTAGGGAAGGGAGGTCCTGGGCGGCAGCCCCTAGGGACCCTACCTGTGCGTGAATTTCGTGCACTGGGCCTCTAGTATTTTATAATCAGTATAATATTGAACAGTTAGTTTTTTGTTTTTGTTTTTTTAATGGCTAATTTTCCTCTGAAGAGCTGGACTTCCTTAGATCCAGGCCTCAGGTCTCAGATGGTGACACCACATTCTCTGAAAATTTTATAAAATTTTGCAATAATTCAGACTTGTTTTCATTGTATCCAATATACCAAATTTGCTAAGTCACCAAGTTGGGTGACAGTGACTTAGAGCAAGAAGAAGGTAAATTTTTTATAATTATGTTTGCAAGATTTATTCTAAATAAAGGATTTAGTATTGTCCATGTTGTAGTTTGCCCTATTTAAGGTTAACTGGGATTGAGTCTAACAAATAAATAATTTTGTTTTCTTGGAGAGTAGTTTGAAGATTTAGAAATAAATATATGTTGAAGATCAGTTGAAGTTGTAAAAGTATACAATTTTCTCACAGCTTTAGATATTTAAATTCTAGTGAAATGGAAATCTCTACTACCTGCTCTGTAAGTAAAAATGATGTTAAACTTCTAATGTTTATCTGATTGACATTTAGCTTACCTCTAGACTAGGCTTCCCTTTCAGGCCTTCAGGACCCCCATGGTCCCCTGATGCTAGGCAGGTGGTTTCCAGCTGTCACCAAAATTTAGACTGCTTGGTGCCGGGTGGTGGGATTGTTGCTCCACTGATAAGAATGCTCTTGTTCTTATACTATAAGGGAGAAAGATGGAGCAACACTCCAAGATTGGCTCCACTAGAAATTAGAGACTATAAACCGAGAAAGTCAGAAAAGGAGAATTAGGAGTTATAATAAGCAAGCAAGTTTTGTTTTGTTTTACAAAGCATCTTCTACCATAGTGATAATAGCCCTTCCAGAGAACCATGTCATTTGCTCTGCAATATTATGTTGTTACAGCAGACAAGTCATTAGAAGATACAAAGATGGTTTGTCACCTAAGAACTTGTCTGTAAATTATGGCCCCACGCTTTGATGCAATATTAACATTTTAGAGTGGAAATATGACCTGATATTTGATTAGATATAAAATGAGAATTTTGACATTCATGAAAGGTTAATAAGAGGAGCAGGGTTCTGATATGAACTGTGTCATATCATTGGCTTTAGATCAGTTGATTGCATTGTGGTTCTTATGGCAGCTTCCTTACATACCCTGTTGAGGAGTAGCTTTTGAAACATTCTCCCCTGGGGAAGAACAATCTTTAAGTATTCTGTATAGGTTAAAATATCGCTTAACAGAATAATTAGATTGGGCTTAAAAACTACTTATGAATGAAGTTACTGTTTAGTACAGAAGGAGGAGAATGAAGAGGTTTTTGTTGTACATAGAACCAAAACAGTATCTGCTCAAAAGAGTTGTAAAATCCAGTTGGAAAAAAAAAAAGTTAAATATTAAGTAATTGTGTATTTATCTGTAGATTAATGGAGGGAATGGAAAACTGGTTAAGAGTATGTGTGTCTTATTAGCAATAGGAAACTTTTCAGATTTACATTTTAAATTGAGCTTTGAAGTAAATGGAAAAAAAAATCTTGGTGCATGAAGGTGGGAAAACTTCCAGGTGTAAAAACAACTTGAGAAAAAGTTAATTTGATTAGTAGAGATGGCAGGCAGGTGTGTATGAAACACTTAATAAAAAACAAAACACACATTTTAAGTTATAATATTTTGTCAAGACTAGTACTGGGTTTTATCACCCCAAACTCAATATAAGTGGCCAGGTTCTCCTGTCCTCCCTGCTTTCCTATCTCCAACATTCCTTTGTAAGAGAGCTAGATAAAAATATAATAGATTGTATCACTTAAGGCAAGTAGTCTTGGCATCATGAGTAAGTTATCTTTTCTTTTCCGTTTTTTAACAGTCTTAAAATATCCAGTGCATGATTCTCATTCGAGAGCTAATAATCATTGTTGAAAGCATGTAATTGTAGTATGCAGCAGTGTTAAATGTTTTTCGTTTGCTTTCTCTCTGCAGAGCACAAAGTGATTATAGTGGGACTGGACAATGCAGGGAAAACTACCATTCTTTATCAGTTGTAAGTATGAGTGTATATTTAAATAGTTTCATTATTTTACTTATTGGAACTAATTTGTATAATTAATAAAGATAAGGTATCATAATGGAAAAACTTGAACATGTTTTTGTATTTTACTGAGCACAAAATTTATGAAAAAATGCCTGTTTGGTGTGGCCAATGATTGAGCTATGAACCCGGAGGTCAGAGTTTGATCCCTAGTCAGGGCACATGCCTGGATTGCTGGCTTGATCCCCAGTATGGGGTGTGCAGGAGGCAACCAATTGATGGTTCTCATCATTGATGTTTTAATCTCTTCCCCTCCCTCACTCTGATATCAACAAAAACGTATTTTAAAAATTAAAAAACTATGCTTATTAAAGCCTTCACAAACTTATTTTCTGTCCTTGAAAGAAAGAATTAATATAAAATTAGGATAAATAAAGCACATATTATAGTGCTAGAGTGAGGTGATAAAGTGCATTTCATTAATTTAGTCTCACAATGAGGTTTATGTAAATAGATTGTTATCTCTAGGAAGTTATTTCTACTCTCCTAATAACTCTTGAAATGTTTATCATAGCCAGTCTTGTCAAATCAAAAGAAATGAAGATTGCCCCTGAAAATATTGCTTTAGTAGCTTTGCAACAGGAAGAAGCTTGAGACTTTCAGAGAAGTACATTAATACTTTAAGGAAATTTTAACAGCACATCAGTCCACTTGTCAAAGTATATACCATTATCCTTTTATTGCCAATGAAATGGTCCGTGTTAAGCAATGAAAATGGCTCTGTGTCTGAAGCATTTTAACAAGTGGTTATAAAAAACACAGTGCACCATTGTGTGGCTCTTGTGTCTTCCCACCTCATCTTAAATATATCAGCTGACAGTTCTCCAGAAATATTTCACTTGAGCAGTGCTTAACATATTTTTCAGCTACTTTGCTAAAAAGTTTCTAAGTTATGGCTATTGTTTTAAGTTGAGTAGCTACTTGTTATTTTTTGTTTGTTTTTTTAAATATCCTATATAATAAAAGCCTAATATGCAAATTGTCCCCTTGACCAGGAGTTCAACCAGGAGTTCGACCAGGAGGTGGGGGCGGCTGGCCAACCACCCACAGCTCCTCCCTCCAACCAGCCCCACCAGGCGAAGGGAGGCCCTGGCCAACAGCCAGCACCCACTAGGGACCCTGCCTGTGCACGAATTTCATGCACTGGGCCTCTAGTCATATATAAACATTTCAGAAACCTGTCACTATTGTTGAAATAATTTTGTGCACAGCTTCAAAAATATATATAATACCCAGAAGGGATTAGCATGTTTCTTCCAATACAACGCTGGCATGTTAGAGGCAAATTTATCTTTGTTGAATAAATTAATGTAGCTTAACGAATGGTTATGATAATACATGTGATATGAGTATCTCTATACTAAATATATTTAGAATTAATTTTAATTAAAGTTTTCATTTGCCCATTGCCTTTCTTTTTAAGACTATAATTGAGCCCTAACCAGTTTGCCTCAGTGGATAGAGCATCGGCCTACGGACTGAAAGGTCCCAGGTTCGATTCCGGTCAAGGGCATGTACCTTGGTTGCGGGCACATCCCTAGTAGGAGGTGTGCAGAAGATGGCTGATTGATGTTTCTCTTTCATCGATATTTCTACCTCTCTATCTCTCTCCCTTCCTCTCTGTAAAAAATCAATAAAACATTTTTTTAAAGAAGACTATAATTGAGGTTAATAGGCCTGAACTAATATTTATGGCTGAGCCAAGTCTCAGTTTTCTCACATAGACAGCCTTCAAAATTATAAATAGCCTACTATTCCATGGATGCTACACTGTAAGTATTGGTGTCCCAGTCACCTAGAAACTTGCTCTTCCAGGATGGAGCATTGGTTCTGCTCTGACTGATAACAGGACATGGTGGTATTAAAAGTTTGGCCACAGAAATGCAACCTCACACCACAGAGTTCCCTTCTATCCAGATCAAGCCCGTAGTTTATTCCATTAACAAAAGAACAGTTTTCTTTTGTAGTTATTCTTTGTCTAGATATTTGTTTGTACAAATGTTCTCTAAGGTTCTATTTTTGATGCATGTAATTACCATCATTGGTGCAAATAAGGAAGATTGATTCCTGTTAAATACAGAGATTAAAAGTTGCTTCAGATTCTCAAAATATACAAAAGAGCTTTTATGGTGTCTATCTTTCAACAGCTTAATGAATGAAGTGGTTCATACATCTCCTACCATAGGAAGCAATGTTGAAGAAATAGTTGTGAAGAACACTCATTTTCTTATGTGGGACATTGGTGGTCAAGAGTCACTGCGGTCATCCTGGAACACGTATTACTCAAACACAGAGGTATACTAGAGTTACTACTAACGTAAATTTAATAAAAAGAACCAGAGAGTAAACCCAGAAAATAGATAGGCTATACATAAGTCATATTGACAATTGCCTTTTTTAGTTAGGAATTTGGGGTTTCAAATAAAAGAGAAAGAGCAATGGGAGCTTTTATTAGATGAGTACTTACTGGTGTGCGGGCTCCCAGTTTATCCTCACCTTAATACTGTAGTATCTCCATTGTTGGAGAAATTGGACATGAGGATAAGTTATATCTTTCCCAAGATCTCAGCTTTATTAGAGGAGTAATAAAATGCTTTGAGTATAATTTAATACAGATTTTCAAATAGTATCATTTGAACATTCAAAATATTGCTGTGATTATATTGTAATTTTTTTTTTTGTAATGGATTTGCAGGCCAGACCCCAGACTTCTGTCACTTATTCGTTATTTTATTATTTCATAGCCAACCTAGGGAACAAATTTAGAATATCTTCTATTTCTGTTTTTATTTTTTCTTAGAAGCAGATTTAAAAAATAATAAAATATAGATGCAATGCTGTCGAGAAAGGCTTATCTTTGAGAATATTAATATACCATTACATGCATAATTTTTCTTTACAGAGGTACAACAAATAAATTATTTTTTCTAAAATGAAGCCTTTTAAATTGAGTGGGGTTTTTTGTGGGGGTTGGAAGGAATGCAAGGACTTTGTTGAATAATTTGCCTTTTTAAATAAAAACATGTATTCCTTTAGATTTATATTGATAGCATATGTATATGTGTGTATATATTCTAGTGCCATGTATGACTGATAAAACCAGTATGGCATAACGTAGATATTTAGCAGTTGTGGTAGCACTTAAATTTTTTTTCTTTGCAAGGGAGGATAGGTTGGTAAGCAAATATTATGCTCATAAATTAGCTTAATATATTTATTTCTACAGTAAAATAACTTTTGTTGGAAAGTAAGAGAAAAACAACATTTTAGCATTATGACTGTTTAAGCAGCATAGCTGTTGGTACTTTTTCAAAGCTCACAGTTAACTGCAGCTGTAAAAAGAGCAGGTCAAAATGATTCTTGCTGATCCACATACTTTTGTAGAATTAGAAAAGTGTAGTTACTGAAATTGCTGAAAATTGACTTAGCATGCGTCCAGAAAGACATACATTATTGCTGACACCATTTGCATGAAATGATATTTTAATTATTTCTACAAGAATAGCAAAATTACTACAAAGAACTATCAGCCTTTATTGCAGCACACCTGTATAACACATAGCATTTGCAATCTTAGATTCTAGGTAAGGATCTTATTATCTTTGTAGTAGTGTTCTGATGGCTTTGTTCACCCTTGTCATCTTCTTAAATTCTTTATGTTGAGGAGTCATCCAAAAGATGAAATGACTCATTTATAATACAAGGAGTTACAGTTGATGACTAATTTCTGATATCTTACTCTCATTAACTTACAGAATTATTTCCATTCTAACTTTGCCTTGGTTCTTACATTTATCTCTTCTATTTTATTTTTTTATCCCTTTCTAAGCCTTTCTCAGTTTATATTCAGATTACCCTAGTTGTCTCTTTCCCTAATTTTACAGATCTGAATAATCTGATTCTACCCTTTTTGTCTTGATTTATTTTGCATCACTTTCTCTACTATAATCCTTAACACCATTTAATCTCATTTCTTAACTGTTCCTTCTACATAAGATGCTCAGTTTAGGAGCTCTTTCTCATTATATATCCTTATTTTTCTTATCAAAGATGTTTTTATTTTTAATGTGTGTGAGACCTGCCTTTTCTTATATACAGTTACCAACAGTTTTTTCCAATTTCTTTTGCTCTCTTTAATTTCACCTGCATCATCTTTAGCATATTAACACCTAAGTAACACATTTTTCTTGTGCTTTTATTGTTGATATTGTTATGTAAAAAATGCTTCATTCATTATTTTTTAATGTTTCTCTTTCAAACTAGTTTGTGTACTTCTTTCAAATAGACAGAAGACTGTAAACATAATTATTGCTTGCCTAAATGAAAGGTTGTAGAGTACTTTTAAGGTTTAGCAAATATTTTACTTATTGTGATTTTCTTAAAATTACTTTTTATTACTTGGTTTTTAAAATCTTAGTATTACAGAATATTATGTATTCAATATCACTTTAAAAAAATAAAATTGGGCATGGTTTGTATTTGATGAAGTTACAAGTTATTTTGTACTGCTCGATGTAATTCCATGTAACATAAACCCTTTATGATGAAAAAGTAGTACACTGTTTTATAGTAAGATGATGCCATGTGAAGAAAGTACTTCTATCACTTGAAAATAGTTTTGTAGAAAATGTCAACAACCCATTCAGTTTTCTATCTTTTTGTCTTCTAGTTCATCATTCTAGTTGTTGATAGCATTGACAGGGAACGATTAGCTATTACGAAAGAAGAATTATACAGAATGTTGGCTCATGAGGTAAGTTTTGAAAGCAAACATAAATAATGGAGTAAGGTATCTCTATATTGATTTTGCATTTTACAAATATTAATATGCTCCGGTGTTGGTTATTTCATCATTAACAAAGCTGTATATATTAAGTTAATAAAATTTTTCATTACTTTTTCAAACTTAAAAAAATCCAGCATGTTAATTTTTAGATTACTGTTATTGAAAAAATTTTTCAAAGTTAAAACTACCGATGTATGCCTTAAAAAGCTGATAGATCAAAGCAGAAAAGGGGAAAACTTAAGTGTTTAAAATCCCAAGAGTTTTCTGGCTGGTGGTGTTCAGTGGATTGAGCGTAATCCCATGGACCAAGATGTCCCCTTTTCGATTCTGGTCAGGGAACATGCCTGCATTGCAGGTTTGATCCCCAGTAGGGGGCATGCAGGAGGCAGCCATTTGATATGTCTCTCTCGTTTTTATCTCTTTCCCTCTACCTTCCTCTCTATCTAAAAAACAATAAAAATATATTTTAAAAAATAAAATAATAAAATTCTGGGAGTTTATAAGAACTGAAAATTCTTTAGTGAATAATTTGAGATCCCTTAATTATGAATATTTCAAAAAAAAAAACTTCAATAATAAAACACATTCATGCTCCCATCACTCAACATAAGATAGTAAATATCTTTTGAGACTTCTCCAATTTGATTTTCTTCCTTTCTCAAGGAAACCAAAAAGAATTCCACTATGGTGAGATAGGGATTATCATCCCTATGAATATTTTTATACTTTTATAAAAATACTAGAGGCCTGGTGCACGAAATTCGTGCACGGAGGGGGGTAGGTCCCTCAGCCCCGCTTGCACCCTCTCCAATCCGGGGACCCCTTGGGGGTCATCCCTCTCACAATACAGGACCTCTGGCTCCTAACCACTCCCCTACCTGCCTGCCTGATCGCCTCTAACCACCTCTGCCTGATACCCCTAACTGCTTCCCTGCCAGCCTGATCACCCCTAAGGGCCTCTGCCTGCCGGTCTGATCACCCCCTTCAGCAGTTCTCAACCTGTGAGTCGCCAACAATGAAAATCCATCCTGCATATCAGATATTTACATTACGATTCATAACAGTAGCAACATTACACCCCCTTCAGCAGTTCTCAACCTGTGAGTCGCCAACAATGAAAATCCATCCTGCATATCAGATATTTACATTACGATTCATAACAGTAGCAAAATTACAGTTATGAAGTAGCAACGAAAATAAAATTTTATGGTTGGGGTCACCACTACATGAAGACCTGATTGCCCCTAATTGCTCTCTGCTGCTGGCCTGATCGCCCCAAACTGCCCTCTGCTGCTGGCCTGGTCACCCCTAACTTCCCTCCCCTGCAGGCCTGATCACCCCTAACTGCTCTCCCCTGCCAGCCTGATCACCCCTAACCACCTCTGTCTCGGCCCCCGCCACCCTGGCTTTGTCCAGAAGGACATCCGGAAGGTGTCCGGTCTAATTAGCATATTACCCTTTTATTAGTACAGATTTTTATATTTAAAATTTTTGTTTACCTGCCAATTGTACAGAATATTATGTGCCATCTTTATAAAACATGTAATGATTAATCTATCTTTATTAGACTGAATTATTAAATCATGATTATTTGAGATCTTTCCTTTTGTTTCCATAAAATTTTTAAGTTAAACATCTGTGTCTAGCCCTAGCTGGTTTGGCTCAGTGGATAGAGCTTCGGCTTGCAGACTGAAGGGTCCCGGGTTCGATTCTGGTCAAGGGCACATGCCCGAGTTGCGGGATAGATTCCCGGTAAGGGGCATGCAAGAGGCAGCTGATCAGTGATTCTCTCTCATCATTGATGTTTCTATCTCTCTTTCTCCTCCCGTCCTCTCTGAAATCAATAAAAATATATATTTTTTAAAAATCTGTGCCTACTCATTTTAAAGTAGAGGGATTTCATTGTAACTGTCCAATAGAGTACATTTTACCCTTGTGTTCATTAGTTTAATTTGAGTTGGGATATTTCAGGTATTAGAATATTTCATATTGATTGCAGGATTTAAGGAAGGCTGCCGTCCTTATCTTTGCAAATAAACAGGATATGAAAGGGTGTATGACAGCAGCTGAAATATCCAAATACCTCACCCTTAGTTCAATTAAGGACCACCCATGGCACATTCAGTCCTGCTGTGCTTTAACAGGAGAAGGGTAAGTGCTAATCAGAATGGGGCAGGTATGACTTCTTTCATTACTTTCCATTTTTTTATGCCAACTTGTTTTCTTCTTTGATCCTGCTTCATTTTGGTCCTTAACTAGAGATGGTTTTTATGTTATGTCTCAGGAAATAATTTTAGTCAATTACAGTTGTTAACATGTTAAGCGTCCAGCCTGTTTTGTCTTCCGAATGGAAAATACAGTGTCAGTCACCGGTGACTGGCACTTAACGTATTAAATTACAATTTCACAAAGTTAGTGACAAATTTTTTGTTAATACAAACAGAATGTTTTACCAAAAAAGTAATAAACTTTTGAATTAAATTTTTGCAATCTAATTTTTAGTTATTCATTTCATGGTTTTATCATTTACTTTCTGGGAGAAAATTATAATATCCCTTGACTTAAAGAGGAAGCATCAAAGAAATTTCACCTTTTCTGCAAAGGCTTAATTAAGCTTAAACTCCTAGCTTTCCACAAGAGTACATCCCCTTTATTATCAGGAGTCATTTTGGGATGCATATTTCTAAACAATAAACATTTGAAATAAATGCCATTATAGTATTTTCTTCCTTTTCTAAGAACTTGAGTTTGGATAAATAGGCCAAGGAGAACCCAGTGTGTTAAGCATGGATTACCCAGTTTATTTCCAGGATTTATTTATGCTCAAATTAACTTGACCTTCTTAGTTTTTTCATACTAGAAATACCTTGTAATATAATGCTACATGTAGACTTTTTTGACCTATATTTTTAAGATTGAGCTATAAGCCTCCATTCTATAGAATTTAGGAGGGTAAGGTGAAGTACTGTTATCTTTCTATAGTGGTTGCAGTTTTAGTTCATCTTAAAGGAGTGGGGGATGAGGAGTATTTGCAATCTTGTTGAAAAACTGCCAAAGCTGCATCCTCTAGATGAGACTGAAGCTATTTCCCACATTACTCAACTGAGTAAGGTCATTTTAAGTGACTCTTGCACTTAAAATTTCCACTTATTTTAGTGTTACCTGAATATTGTCGCTTAAGTGTATAAATAATTTTTGAAGTACCAAGTATGCTTTCAATTTTTAAGTATAAACTTTTTCATTTTTTTTTTCTTTGTTTGCTGGGGTGGCGGGGGTGGGGGGGGCGGTTAGAGATGCTTGCGATGTGGTCCTTACCTACGTGACCTAAACTTTTTCATTTTGAAAATATTTTTCTCTTTTGTTTCAGGTTATGCCAAGGTCTAGAGTGGATGACCTCCAGAATTGGTGTGAGATAACTGTTTTGCTTGAAAGAGACTGCTCTATTTATTCTGTGACATGAACATTTTTTCCTAGTATCTTTGGCTGCTAAGGCAGCAGCATGTTTAATTTATAACAACACAAACCTCTATGAGCAACACTTGAATCAAGTGCAGCTGAACTGGAACGTGGAAGATTTTTTCTTAACTTTTTTTTAATGCACTAATCTTCAGTTGGATGAACACTAATGTATAACTGTGTTTTCAGCAACAGAATTTTTCTGACTGCTTATTCTAATTATTCAATGACTGCCTTGTAAGAAATGTTTGTCATATGTCTAATGTTTCCTGAAGTATTGTAATGACTTTAATGACCAAGTTCTCTCATTTCTTGACCACCCCTCCCCCACCAGATAATGACTGGTTTGACAAAGTATTAGAGGAAATCATTGGGTACTGCTTGCAAACTTAACCAGCACTAAGTATTTGCTCCCTCTATAAACCACTTACCTTTTGGACAGAACTTATAGAGAAAGAAATCTGCCTAGAAGATATATGTGAGGAAGATTAAACATCATGAAAATTGACTTTAAATGAGTTAACTCCTCTACATTATTGCAAGTCATGGAATAATTTTAAGTTACTGTTAGCATGGAAATTATGTAGGCTATTATCTAAAAGAATTAAGTCCACATTTCTGCCTATAACATGGCATTTGTTTTGGTTAAAAACTAATCAAGGTAAAATATTTGTTTAAATACCCTTCTTTGGATAAACATGGTATTTTAAGAATGCTGCATTATTCAATGCATATATAAATATTGGTAGTTATTAAAGCATACCAGCATTAATATTAAAACCAGCCACTTGGAATATATTTTACTATAAATTATCAACAACTTTATTATCAGCCTAAAGTTCAACTATTCCATTTGCAAGGGACATCCCATCTGCTTTGGGCAAAGCTAAAACAGAATATAAAGAGTTCATTTTATTTCTTAAAATTCGAAATTGTGTCTGTAATATTCTTACTACCACCAGCAGTATATTACTTAAAAAAACCATATGGCTTTTCTTAAATCTATTTGAGGTTGTAGTAATAAGCTTGAAACAATTTTCATCTTTATTGTTATGCCTCTTGCTCTAAAGTCTTTTGCTGGAGTATAGGAAAACTGCTAAATTTAATCCTAGCTTTTAGAATAGTATTATGAGACTCAAAGTTAATATACTAACAACTTATAAATTTAAAAAATAGGAAAAAAGTCATAACTATCAAAAGTGTTTATTTGATAATATTTAAAAGTTTTCAAGGCAGTTGTCTAATATGAACAATAAATAATGCATACCTTGAGGACAGGTATGGTAATTTTAATCCTCTTTATCTTAAATGTATGATTTTGCTATAATGAAAGGGATAAAATACATACTTAGAGAATAATAATACTTCATCTTCGCAGTATTTTTTTTTCATTTGGGTCAAAAATAGGATTCAGTGTTCTTAAGAATATCAAAATACCTGTTCAAAGATGGTATTTTAATTCTATTTTTTTATTATAAGTTGGTTTAAATTTTGCTGTTTTCAGGTATATTTGATTTATTCTATTTAGTCTAATTAATATGTAGTTGAATGTGGTAATAATTTTCTGATTTCTATTTAGTGGTAGCACACTCGAGAACTGAAAAATGGCTAGATGAAAGCTTTTTGGACTTTGGGAACTAGTTGTTATTAACATTGTTTTGAACCTTTTTCTTAGTGATTTCATAGCAGATAGAGGATAAATTTTCTTTTTAATATAACCCATAATCAGGAACCTGAGAGAAGAGTAGACATATCAATATGGATGCTTTGTGGTGTGTATGTGGCAGTGAAACTAAGAGAGATTATGAAAATACTATTTACCCAAAGGACACTTATCCAAATTCTTCTCTTGGTTATACAGTTTAGCTACAAATACTGAGTATAGTTCTCCTAACTCTGTCCTGAGAAAAAACATTAATACTCCTTGTTTATACTTTGAAATTTGTCTTGTATCTAATAAGATTGGCTGGCTCAATTTTCACTTATCAAATTATATGTTTATTTTTTTTTATATATTACCATGTCAGCATTATATTGAAAGTGAACAACTGCTAGTATAGATTCAAGTTTGCTATTTAATTTTTAAAATACAATTTATTTTATTTTCTGAATCCTTTTAAAAAACATTTTGTTTTGGATTAGAAATAATTTATGTTAGCTGTGTGTTGACAATGAAATGGCATTCAACTAGATTTTGTGCCGATTGGGAATTTGAGAAATTAATGTAAGACTTTTTAAAAGTATATTATAGGTTCTAAATAGATATTTCCTGTTACAGTAATATAAAAACTGATTACCTTTTACTCCAAGAGAATGTTTTGACCCAACCATGTATCTAATGCTAAAGCATTGATTCTGACATTCATTGTAAATCAACAAACTCTAGGATATTGTCTGATGAAAAATGTAAATTTGTAATTAGTGCCTATATTCATATTTTAAGATGAGTTTTCAATTTTGTACTATACCTTTTCTTTGGAAATCAAGTTAGCAGCTAATTAACAGTGATATTATTGGAGTTTTTATCCTACCCATCAACCCCTCAATTGCCTAGCAAAGTTTCTCGTAGATAGTGGAAAGCAAGGGACCTACCAACATTAGTTTAGGGAGGTTATTGTACATTTTGTTTTTAATTTGAGTGCAAAGAAACAATGTTATCTTTTAAATATGCTGTAACTAAAATGTAATTGCTACCCTAACAAGTTTAAATATGGTACTTTTCTTAATTTTGAGCATGTTGTGTTCATATTTAGCCTCATCTCTCTTATTGAAACCTTTTTGAGAACTCTTAGAATTAACAGGCCCTTTTATATGGGGTTATACTGCATATTTTATATTGTTAGTGTAATTTAATTTTTTATAATCTGAAATAATATATATCTATAATCTATTGAAAAGCTCATTAAATACATAACTTTTGCTTTTAGGTTCTGTGTTAGTATGCTTAAAGGTCTAATTTTATTCTATGTTCATTGGAAGAAAGATAACAAATTCAAGTTTTAGTGTTAAAAATAATTTTTACACATGCACAACCCCTATAGCCATAGTCATTTTCATTAAGCATAAGTTAACTTTCATTATCTATAAGATAAAGAGAAAATATATATTTCTTTTCCTATGGAAACAGTGAGTGATATAGGCAGCAGGCATACAATATTTTCTGAAGAGTTATGGGGAGTCACAAAGCAAATAAAATTTTAAAGAAAATAAAATACTGCAGAAAAATTTTTGGTGTGGTGAAAAAAAAAAGTACTGTTGTTATGCTTATAGAGCTGGGGGAATTCCATTGACATTTATATTTGAAGACCAACTTCATGAGTCTGACTTTTCATCTGTGGCTTTGGATCCAAAACATTTCATATCCTTTATATTTTGTCAGGGTAAAGTCATTTCAAGATACAGTATGGTAAGGAAAGAAAAACAAAATGATATATAGCATGATAATTTGTATCCGGTAGAATATTTTGCTAGCTATCTAAAGGATGGATTTGAATCTTAGTTTGGCCATTACTTGTCTAGTTGACCTTCAACAATTACTGTTTGTGCCCTCCCTATTGTTTTTCACATACCCAGGAACTTACGCTAGAACTTCAACATGTCTTTTGATTTTAAAATACTGAATCTTCATATGCTACATTAAAATTGAAAAACAAACAAACAAAAAAATACATGTACTGTGAAATTAAATTCATTTTAATCTATTTTTTTATTCCCACCTTCTAATTTCATTTAGTATATGAATACAATCGAATAAGAAAATAAATTTCAACTAGTAACTGCTAATCAACTTAAATTGAGCTAATAACAATGCAAAAGAGAAAATAAGCCATATTGCTAAGAGCATGCTAGTAAGCTGCTTAGGAAACAACATATTCTGCTGGTAATACGTACTCTCTTCTAGAAAATGCCTTGCTTTCTTGGCTTTTACTTATTAGAAGGGGTTAGTTTATTCAGAGTTTATTGGCCTCATGCCATCTCAAACTGCAGTTCTGTTTGACTTTCTAGCATTGAAAGGATAGTACAGCCAGAATGTCAATATTTTACAAACATTAAATTTATTTAGCATTACTGTGAAGACTGAAATCCAAAAGTCAGGTTTCTAAGAAGTATTTTTTAAGAGTACTACGTGGCCAAAACTAAATAGAGAAGGCCAATAATTTCAACTACTTTATATTTAAGGTAGAAAAATTATTGTAGTCAGCAGACCTAAATTCAGCTTTAAATGTATATAGTTGGGGGAAATGTTAAATTTTGAGAGGTATAGAGGCATACCTAGAAACAAATCAAAACACTTGATAGTGAAGATAAACATGAGTAGAAAAATCTTTAAAAGGATATTAAGTAAATAGAAAATTTGAAAACTAAATATCCCTCCCTCCCCCCGCTTAAAACTAGACCAGAAAGTACATTATTTTACTGTAGAACTGGTTGGACCTATGTCATTTTTAATGTGGCCAAAGGATTGAAGACTGATCAGGTTTTTAGAATTTGGGAGTGTAGTCACATAGAGGCATCTTTTGCATTTTTTTAAATCAGTAATCTACATTTTCTCTCAGAAATGGTGAAATGTGTCGTGCATGTCTTTTGAAATAGAAAATAGTTCTAGAAGACGAAGTGTTCTCTTGCACATACTTACAAAATTTTAATTTGAAAATTACCTCATTTTCCAATCCATAATAAGGTGCTTTTGCTCAAGTTTGTGGGATGTTAAACCATCCCATAAATACCCCTTCACCCAAACTCTATTTGAAATATGCAAAATTCACAACTAAGGGATAGTATTCCTTGGAGATTTTTATTTTATTCTTGTTTACCACCAGCAGGGCTAGCCTGGCATAGCAGGTCCGAATATTGTCTTCATTAAAGCAAATGAGCAAGTTCTCAGTATATGATTAGTTTAATATCAAATAGGGGAAGAAAAAACCCTAAAATCTGATTATATTATACTGTGAATATATTTCCACTGGTGTTGGTAAGCTATCAAATGACTATCAGCTGATCTTGATTATAATTTATTTACATATTTTGGACCTATTCATAAGATATTTTAATCTTACATTTTCCCTCAGGACATTCAGGGACTCTACAACCCCTATGTTCTCTTGGAGTAAACTGTTCAGTGTAAACTTTTCATTTTGATTTTTAAAAAAGTTTTAACTGTTATTTCATTAAGAGTGTGAAATAAAATTATGGTTATATTTTTTCCAATTATGTAATAGTTATAAATTTTACCCTTTTTATCTATTGCACAGAACATGGTTTAAAAAGGGAAAAATTAAAAGCAACAGCCTTGCTCTTGCATTATTCTAATCAGAATATAATTAATATAATCACATGTTGCCATCTTAACATAAAGTGGTGCTTTAGAGCATTAAGGAGGAAACAGCAGGCCCTGTATAATGTACTTTTGCTTCAGAATGTAAAACTATAAAGTGTCTATATTTATGTTCATTTCTTAAGATTTAAATACAAGCCGTTGTTCTTCAAGCTAAAGGCTTTCTGCAAAAGCTGTAACAATATCTTAGCTATTACGCTTGGTCAAATAGAAGATGGTGTTAATAAGGCCAAAATTATGAATTGGAACTCTGTGGGTACCCTGATTGTACAGAGGGGGAAAAAATGTCTTTCACACCACAGCCTATGCTTAACCTCATCCAAGCAGCTGAAATGTGTGCTATTGATCCATTATATAAGCATTAATTTAAAAATTTTAAAAAGCAAAGCATTTACATCATCACTTGAAAATGGTTCAAAGCATGTGCTTCTAATGTGGGTTATTTAAAAGACATGTTTTAGATGTTTAATAACTTCATGACTGTCATAAAAGGCTTCTTTGATGTGTTAAGTTTAGGTTGCTGCTACTTGTGATTTTTTATGTCTGCAATTACATTATGAGTTGCTTGCATGTCTACATACTCAAGTAAAAGGATGCTGTTTACTCTGGAATGTTCATCGTTTAGACAAATTTTGCCTCATTTGCAATCATGGTGCAATACAGTATAACATTCATTTGTTTTCAGTCAACAGTTTTATTTTTTTCATAATAAATAATTACTTTTCCAATATAACGTGAAACCAGTGTTTTCTTTTAAAGATAAAATCTGTTTTAACAGTCTTCTTTGTTGTGATAGAAACCCATCTCATCTAACAAAGTGAGTGGAATTTTATAAATGCTGTGGGGGCCCTGTCCAGAGTACGCCGGGTGCTCAAGGCCAATTTGCCATATGCAGGTGTAAAACCAAGGACACAGCAATCTTACTGTATACACTGGGCAGGGGTACTTTTCTATAACCCAAAATACTGACGTCACTATTGGCCAAGAAGCCTCTTTTCTCTGAGCTAGTATAAGAGTGTGCTACTGACCAGCAGGTGGCTGGCTCTTGTGTGCTTGGCTGCTTTGTGAGGCTACTTTGAAGAACTGTTTTGTCTGGTGGCTCCTTGGTAGCAATGGCTACTTGATCTGCGATAAAGTCTCTTAGATGCCTACAACTGCTCGTATCATCTTCATCCACTACCTGGTGTCCACAGGAGTACAACCCCTAGCAGAGAAGGATCTGTACTCCCACGAGTGCTCATGGAACCCAAGGTCAGGATACAGCTGGATTCTGGAATAGCATGGGACCAGAGACCTAGGAACATGAGAAGAAACCAGGAAGTTATTGCTCTCCTACCCATCTCCCCTTTCTCAGTCTTTCACTAGAATGGATTCTTTGTCTCCTAGACCACATTTAACGGAGAAGGGGAATCCCTGGGCACCAGGAAGGCAGTCCAAGTGGATATAATAGAAAATACATTTAGTCTCCTAGTTAATCAGAAAGATCAAGTTAGCAGAGGGTTGGAACTTTCAGCCCCACCCACCAACCTCTGGGAAGGGGAAGGTGTGTGTGTGTGTGTGTGTGTGTGTTTTGGGGGGGCGGGTACTCCCAATGAAGTTATATGAAAGCTGAACAATATTTGATAAGCTTCCAGGTGGGTGAACACATCCATATGCCAATAGGGTGGTGTACCCCAGTTCCTTGGGGACCCTACAGACCTCATCCTGTGTACCTCCATCGGCTGTTCTGTATCCTTTACCTTTATATTACCCTATATAATAAAAGCCGGCGGTCAGACATCCCCCAAGGGGTCCCAGATTGGAGAGGGTGTAGGCCGGGCTGAGGGACACCCCCCCTGCATGAATTTTGTCCACTGGGCCTCTAGTTTTTTTATAATATACTAGAGGCCCGGTGCACGAATTCATGCACCTTGGAAAAAAACTGGGGCCACAAGGCTGTGATGGGCACAGGTGATGGTCTTGGCCCATCCTCCACATTCCTAGTCTCCTGTCTGCCGGCAGCGCTGTTCCTGCCACCACCACCCCCATGCACTGATGGCACCCGCCCCGCTCAAACCCACTGACGGCGCGGAGCAATTGGGGCCGGCACCAGCAGCAGGTGCGAGCGAGGCCGATGTCATCAGCAGGTGCGAGTGGTGGCTGTCGGCCCCGATTGCTCCTCAGGAGAGGGGAAGGTGGAGAAGCCCTCAGGGGCAATCGGGGCTGGCAGCCACCGCTCGCACCCAATGATGGCTTTTAGCAATCGGGACTGGTTTTGGGCGCTGGCAGTGGGTGTGAGTGGAGCTGGTGCCTGCAGTGGGTGCTAACAACAGCTCCAGCACTGGCAGCAGGTGCAAGCACTGGGTGGGACCGCAGCGCACGGGAGCAAAGAATTTTCAGTAACAACCAGAGGCTGGCCCCAATGACAGTGACCAGCACCCTACCTTGGTCTATCACCGCTCACCTGCTCCACCATCTCTCCATGGCCGACACCTGCCATGTTCGCACTCTGCCTCCTGCTGCCGATGCCATGTTCCATGCGTGCACCCGGTGGTCAGCATACATCACAGAAACCCGTTGTTTGTTCCGTCGTTCTGTCTATTAGCATATTAGCCTTTTATTATATAGGACTAGAGGCCCTGTGCATGAAATTCATGCACAGGTAGGCTCCCTAGGCCTGGCCGGGTGACCAGGGTCAATCGGGGCCTTCTGGTTGTCAGCTGGGGCTTTCCTTCTAGCTGCGGGCTGGAGCCTCCCTTCCCCAGCTGCCAGCTGCCATTCAGGGCCTCCCTTCCCCAGTTGCTGGTCAGGGGCTTCCTTCATTCCATGCTGCCCGCTGGTGGTCAGTGCATGTCATAGTGAGTCATTGAACTCCTGGTCTCCCAGTTGAACTCCCAAGGGGCCAATTTGCATATTAGGCATATATATATTGGTAAGTGTAAATGTCTCTGAGTTCTGTGAGCCACTCCAGGAAAGTACAGATTTGGTATAGAAGTTTAGGAATTTTGACCTCAATTTGAGTTCTGCTATAGAACTTCAGTAGGTGAACATGATTTTTTCTGATAAACACTCAAAACTACATAGGGTTTCATCCTGCCAATTTTTTTTTTTTTTTTTTTTTTTTTTTTTTTTTTACTTTCTTTTTTTTTTTTAATATTTTTTTATTTTTCGCTTGAAGTATTACAAAGGGTATTACATAAGTGTCCTTTTTTTCCCCCCCGCCCTTGACACACCCCTACCCTCCCTTACCCCCCAGTGTCTTATGTCCATTAGTTATGCTTATATGCATGCATACAAGTCCTTCGGTTGATCTCTTACTCCCCTCCCTCCTGCCCCCCAACTCTCTCTGGCCTTCCCACTGCAGTTTGGCAATCAGTTTGAGGCAGCTCTGCCTCTGTATCTATTATTGTTCAAAAGTTTGTAATGGTCTTTATTATCCATGAATGAGTGAGATCATGTGGTATTTTTCCTTCATTGACTGGCTTGTTTCACTTAGCATAATGCTCTCCAGCTCCATCCATGCTGTTGCAAATGGTAGGAGTTCCTTCTTTTTAACAGCAGCAT